AGAGAGAGAGAGAGAGAGAGAGAGAGAGAGAGAGAGAGAGAGAGAGAGAGAGAGCCATAGGGCTGTGTATTGCTCTCCTAGCTAATATTACATGAATACTTAGAATTTCTGCTCTTTAGAAAGAGACATGTTCAGTGTTCTCTCAACTCAGCAATAGTTTTTTTCATGGTTTCTTGGATTTGATCTCCTATCATCAATCTTATGTTCTACGTTCTTAATTTCTGAGTCTACAAGCAGTATGTGACCGAGCAAACTAATTTAATCAAAATAAATAAATGAATATAACTTTATCAACTTTGAATAGAGTTTTTTTTTTTTTTTGGACAAATAACTTTGAATAGAGTTTTTAAGCCATAACCACCATTAACTCATTTTGTTTACAATTTGATGATAACAGATAAGTATTGTAGAAACGTATTTTACTGCAATAATTTAAAACTATAAGGTAGGTTATAGAGGCCAAATAAAAGGTACAAAACATCTAAAGAAGATGAAGAAGAAGGAATAACTTTTGGAAATTGAAGACATAATAAAACAAAACTTGTGGAAAAAGGACAATCTATAGAAACTGCAATAAACCAAACAGACTAGAGATTACTTGAGGAAACTAAATTGCCAAAACGATGTAACGGAATTGTCACCAACTACCTAATAAAAACAAAAAACTATTCATTCCAACATTTTATTTGTTTTTTTTTTCTGATATAGTTACAAAAAGAAAGTGGAAAAATGAAAGTTACTGTGAAGAGTAGTAGCAAATCCCATGCCTCTGCTCTGCGTTACATTGAGAGACAATGACCATACATGTCTTTTTGCTGTACAACTTACTCTTCTTCACCTTCTAAAGATCATCCCCTTATTTTCTGAGACCAAAACTGGTCACTTTCTTTTGTCTCTTTTGTAGATTTAGATTCTCTTCTTCGATTTTATATATCGATCAGAATCTAGCAAGGTTAATCATCTCGGATGTACACTTCTCTTGATGTGATCGATGAGACCAAACTACATCCATTGATTTGGTTTTTGGTTAAGATATAAATTATCTTTACCACCCACTCAATATTCATCTCTACATCCATTGATTTGGTTTTTGGTTAAGATGTAAACAGTCTTATATATGTCAATAATAAACTTCCACATTTGCTACAGTGTCTTTCTGATGAAACTGTATAGTCTAAGCAATAAAGCAATCATGTGAACAAATTAATCACATCATATGTAGCTATGAAGTACATATTGAAGAAACAAATTTACAACAAAATGTCAAAAATTAAATAACAAAAACTTTTTTTTTTTTTGGCAACAAAATAACAAAAACTAAACAATGTAATATAACAAAATTTCAAAAAATTTAAACGCAAAACAACATTTTGTAACTTCAGGTTAATGTGAGAGTCAGTTGGTTATAAAGTATATAACTATAGTTTTTTTTAGATATCAAGAGAGTATTGTAGTCTGAGATAGTTGTTCAGCTAATAATTGTCTCTGGTCTTGTCGCATGGAACTATTTAATGACAAGCAAATTTTACCCACTCTTCTATATGATTATCTGCTCTTTTCGCCGATTTTTACTGTTTCGTAGATAACTGTTAGACGGTTAAAAATTAAATACAAACGTCAGAAGATTATTTAGTTATTATATATCAAAAGTGTACACGTGTAATGTATAATCATAAAATATATCTAAAATTAAAAAAGTGAGAGGTCAACATCAATGCTCGTCTTAATACAACTTTACAAACAAAGACAGAGATACTGCTTTTATAAGTAGTCTTCCTTCTCCACAATTGACTTTATTCACTTCACACTCTTTTAACTTTGCAGCTCTTTCTCTCTATTCTCACTTTCGACCAAAAAAAGAAGAAAGCAGAAGCAAAAATGGGATGCATAATGGTAATGGAGCTAGGGAAGAAGGAGAAGAAGCTACTAAGAAGTATTTTATGGAAAATCAGAAGAGAGATTAAGAAGATGAAGAAGAAAATGAGGTCACCAAAAGACAAGAATAAGAAGCAGACCAGTTTTAACTATGATCCTCTGAGCTATTCTCTTAACTTCGACTCTCTTTAAACCTATCAAATTATGTCTTGTTGCTGTTTGCTTATTTTTAATATCAGTTTGTGTGATGTAATGCACGTTTCTAATTTCATGTCTGTTGTCTATGCTATGTCTGATTAGCCTATTTAGTTATTGCTAACAACTTTTTAAGTTGCTTATTTTATCTATATCAGTTTTTGTGATATAATATATGTTTCTAAATTCTAATGCCAAGTCTGTTGTTTCTGCTATGTATAAGCCTATTGGGTTGTTATTAACAGCTTTTTTAAGTTGATTATCTTCCCCCAAAGCTAATCTTTAGCGTGAGAATCACTAATAACTATCGTTTTATGTCTTTAACTGAAAAGAAGATAATAGTTTTGTAGTTTGAATTTAGTTATAGTTCTCTATTAAATGTTTTTTTTTCAAATAGAGGTAAAAAGTTAGTCTATAATCTCCCAATGATATCATACACTGTATAAAACACAGAAGAGAGAGAAAGAGAGAGAGATTCTGCAACTAATCACCTATCTAATCATTTTGACCCAAGATTCTCTTAATCAGTAGAGAAAATACAGTACTGTGAAGATAAAGAGAAAGTTAAGACGATTAAACCTTTAGATATTCCGCAAACCCCATCATAACTTGGAAAGTTTTTTTGCTATAATCATCTTCCTAGTCTTTAGTCTCTAAATATGTAAATATTTGCTTTACCATAAAGTTTTAAAACTATACACAAAAGGAAAAGGGGGATTTGAAAGATAGAGAGAGAAGGATGTGAGATTCTCTGAGAGAAGGGCACAGTAAGCAAGAAGTGAGTGAGGGTGAATTCACCTTCCCATCACCCTAAAACCCTAAAAGTCTCATCAGCTCTGCACCCCCACATGCCTATCTATCTCTGCCCTAGCCTTTTTTTCAGATTTCTTCCATTTTTTTTAACTTTTACCGTTATGCAACCACTGTCCCCTACTGTTAGTATTATCTTAATCACATTTTGCATTTATAACTCTTTAGACGAGTCCTTACATAAAAAAACCTCCTCCATCTGAACTGTATTTGAGGTCTTTCACCTGAACATGTAAATGCATCAGATGAAAATTATATTCCTCTCTATATATTTTGTTGGGGGCAGGCCCGGCCGAGAAAATACGGACCGGAAGCAAAAAAATAAAAATTAGGCTATTAATTAAAAATATGAAACTATAGTATTACACTTTGAACCTGACACACTTCACACAACAAATCTAGTCTTAAACCAACTATATTATCGAAGATATTGACAATGTGAAGGACGGAAAGTTTGATAATCTAATCAGAGCCGGAAGCACGTGCTTGTATTGCTTATACCCAGAATCACTACTGGTTGGGATATAATGCTGTCAAAACAACCTTATATTATATACACTCTAAATATATTGGGCCAGACCATTATTTTGTTTTTTGTAATTTAGCCTAGGAACATTTGAAGATTTATATTAGTGGGCATACTCGAATATCTCTAGCTATAAATGGGCCACACGGCCCAAATATCTTTAACCCGAAAACCCTAATCAATAAACAAAGAAATTGAGACCACGAAAAACATCAGATCTAATGGCAACAGAAAATAAATCTAAACCGTTTATTAGCATCGCGTATCCAAAACCAACGGTGGGATTCGATCGACACCTAATAATCCGTGTAAGAAAAAAAATGACACGCGAGTATATAAGCGCCACAAGCTTCGTTTCCCTCTCACAGCTTCTCTGAAACCTTTTTTGAAACTTAATCCAAATAGAGTTTCGTTTCAGAAAGAGATGGCCGGTAGTGGATCACCGAAATCAAACTCAGTTGAATCTGAAAACACGACAATTTGGTATTCAATCTTCTTAATCTTACTTTCAATTGGATTTTTGTTTCGGCCTAAGTTTTGATTGTTTTGATTTAGTGTTACGATTGGGGATTTTAGACAGTAAACTTCTAGGGTTTCTGTTTTTCTCACACGAAACGTGAAATTTAAACGATTTCACTGAAGCATGCGACAAAAATGTAGTTTTCTTCTGATTTAAAGAGTTTAATGTTTTGATTTAGGGTTTCAATTTTTTCTCACAATTTAAGTTGAAATTAAATTATTTCAGTGAAAGATGCAACAAGAAATTACATGTTGACGACAAAAATCTCGGTAATCTCTAACTCTTTCCGTTTTCTTCGTCTTTGCGTTATCATCGTCTCTTAAATCACATTTTGTGGCTATGGTTTTTTTTTAATTTAATGATCAGAAGCTGCCCAAGTTGATGAGACGCAACCTGTAGAGAAGTAAGACCTCGTTAGGATTTTTATCTCTGTCTTTATGTATTATTAATTATATATGTGATCATTGAGTTCCTTTCTTCTTGTTCGGATTCGTTAGGAACAGCTCAAAGCGGTCTCATCCTACTGCCTTTTATCTTTTCATGTAATATTAATTCATCTTTCGATTTTTGTCTTCTCGTTTTTATTATACTGATAGGGATAATAATTAATGCTGATATTTCTTTTCTCTTTGTAGGAATGATTTCCGCAGAACTTTCGAAAAGGAGAATGAATATGTTAACCTTAAGGATGTAAGACTGTAAAACCGAGCTTTGTTACTTTCACTTTGAGTATTGGTTTATATGTTTTTTACAAGACACTTTGCTGTTTTATATATGGTTGTAGGTTCCAAAGCTTGGTGGTGAAAAGTGGAAGTCTTTCACTGAGGAAGTGAGTTTGCTCTCAGTTACTTTGTTCCTTTCCTGAGTTTCTTGATGATCTGATTACTGTGCTCTTACTCTAGTTTTGTTCGGTTGTTCTTTTAGGAGAAGAAAGTTTATAGGGATTTTGCTGCTCATATGGAAAGATATAACAT